TTTGTTAGTCTGAAATACTGGCACATCTGCTACTGAATTAGTTTCTTCAGGACTTGATGGTCCTTAAAGTACTGATGAGCACCAGTGTCATTTAATGAGTGATATCTGACTAAACTAGTTAAACTTGGGAAAGCCAAGTCTGTTCTCTAAGACACAGGAGATATGGGATGCTGCGGTCAAAAGAAGGCATTTAATGCATAAGTGGCACTAGCTTTAAACTGAGCCTGTTTATTCAGTATGACCACAATGGGGAAGACGTAAAAGTGGCCAAAGAAATTCTCTCCATTATTAATTCTACATTAGCTAGTGACACAAGAACAGCTTGGGGCTGATTGTGTGCAAACAATGTAATCAAATTTACTTACACCTGCAATGGATGGATGAGAGGGAACAGAAGATGCTGTTGTCAGTTGAGTGGCAACAGAAGAAGATCTTTGTTGTGGCAGTTCTATAGTTTTAGCGTGTTTGTAAGCCACTAGAAAAGAAAAGGAAGTATAAATGATTTGGAGGATTATTTCTTTCTTCCCTGCTCCTTAGTCTGAGTTTTTCCAATATTAAGAACTTTACATTCAAATAGTATTTTTAACATGAATAAAGCATCAACAGGTAGAAATCAATATAATTTCATTGAAACCAATTCCAGCATCTCAACATCCCAGCCACTGTCTCACAATTGTGTAGTTATGTTTTTATAATAACTAAAATGTATCATCAGGGTTTCCTTTTTAAATCAAATGTTTCATTTAAGTATCTCAAAGGGTGTTCAGAGATTTGACCCTCATAAGCTATAGTATTTAGTGAGGTAAATATTATGGTCACTTTAGTGACTGGACAAGTTGTTTCATGTGTCTGTGCCATATGTCAAATGCAGTCTGTTGTACAGCTGGGAACAGAACATATTGCTTTAATGACCTGTAAAGTTTTGGTAGCACTTTATAGACTAACATAACATATAGATGGTATCATGCGCTTTCGTGGGCACAGCCCACTTCTTCAGAAGACCGGAGTTATGAGTTTGGGATGTGAACACTCAAAATAAATGGGGGGGGGGG